AATTTTTGGTATTACAAAATAGAGGCGTGTTTTGACCGTGTTGTTGGAGCGGCTTCACGTCCACCGGGACATAGCCAACTCTCTTGTCCATCAGGTGTTGATATTTGCGACGCGGGCGATTCGGCCCATGCAAAGAGCACGCGGTAAATAGCTGAGCTGAACGAAGATGTATCAGGTGTATCTAAGCTTCAACATGTTCATGAAGATCGGTAAGCTTGTGACATGACTTTTCATTAACCCCTCAATAATCGTTATTGTACGGTTGCAATACTCAATTTAGATGACAATATGTTATAATTATAAGATGAGAACACGAATGACACCCTTCTTCAAACTATTGTATTTCACAGGAGTGTGGGTAAACATGATGAGAACGACGTTTTTGTTCGTAATTACACCAGGCCAAACTTCGGGAACGAGAAAGATATGCCGAACGCAGTAGAATGGATTTTTACGCGAGCTGATTTTTTGGTTTTTGCAGGCTGTAGATATGGTATATAGATGCAACCCTGATTAAAAGGCATGTAAGCGTCTTCGGAGAAAAAAATAGCTAAAAAACTTGGCAGGAGCGCGCACATCGCGTTGTTCGAAAATATTCTCAATCTTTAGAGACAGATGTTGGAGGAGACGAAAATAGAGCAAGTTGCGTATTCAACACACACACACACACACTACTACTACTTATATCAATCAGCTACCCCGTGGGGTCACGCCGCCCTCCACTCAGAGAACTGAGCGCAAGGTGAGGGGCAGTGGCGCAAAACAAAACAGGAAGTACAGCAAAATGAATTGAAAAAAAAGGAAATCAAAACAAGCTGCCATATTGATGGAAAAGGACTCACAAACAGAGGAAAGAAATATCACAAACCAGATGAACAGTCTGCTGTAGGTCCACTATAAATATAACATGCAACGACTGAAAAAGGAACAAAATTAATGTGAACATGATGTTCTGTTCAACGTCTGTACGCGTACTGCTTCGGCCTTCATAAACCAGGAAAGCACAATCTTGAACTGGAGGGTGGGCACCGAACGTCCCACAAGGGCTCCACAAGACGAACTTTCACGAAACGACGAGGAGTGTGCACAGCAAGCTAACATCACTACACCATCGTCGCACGACGACTGGCCACTCAGGTCCAAACAACACGACAAATCCACAATTCCAGCGATACAACACGCAGGAATTAATTCCTGCGAGTGTGACCTGTTCCTTCAGGAATCCACTTGCTTTGCCGAGCGCCACTGCATTGTTTCAGGCTGGGGTTCGATCCGAGGGCTCGCCACGCCACTGCGGAGGATGCGGAAAGGACGCAAGAAGACGGTCACGGCAACAAATAATTACCCGCCCTGGTTGTCAGCTCACTGAATGTCCTTCCGCGCGAGCGAAACCGGCTGCAAGGCATGAAAAGCCTACTGCCACTCAATACCCAGGGACGACCCTGACCAGAAGGCGAAGGCCGCCCCGTGGAGGGGGCCAACAAAGAGAAAACCAGGAGCTAACAAATCTGCTTCCTTTCCGCGAAAATTTTCTGCACACACACACACACACACACACACACACCTTGGTCCTTGGTAACACTGCCATTAAATAGTCACGTGTCCCCTGTGCAGGGGTCGACAGCACTGAGTTCAGCATTGGATCCAGAAACGCCGTTCTACTTCCTGGACAGGAAATTAGCACAGCTATGCAGGTCGAAACCACGGGATGACTTGCAGCAGCGACCGCAGCCGAGACAATGCGCTCTGCAGTAGGGCAGGGCAACCCGCTGTTTCCGGACCGAGTCCGCCGATGCCACAGCCGAGACCGACGCCACTCCAGCAGCCGAGTTGGAGAGACTGTTATGCGAAGCTAGCCCGCCAGCACTCAAGAACCATCTCCCGCACGCATTACATAGTCGGCTGCCGGACTGCTCAGATATGGGCTTCCTCCTCTCGGCCAGGCACTTGTGGCGATTCTTGTATTTCTGGTGGGCGAAAGTACGCTGGCAGACATCGCAGAGCACAGAAGTGTCACGCTGAGCCGATCGCGGTACTGGTTGAGCGGAATACGCACTGCGCCATTTCCCACGCTCCTGGGCGAGGTCGTACCATTCCGTGTGGTCGATGTTCACTGCGGAGAGGTCAGCTCTGACAGAGTCTCGCCACCGTTTCCGAGGACCGCAAGCCGGCCTCGGCGGAAGGAGCGCACCAAACAGGAGCTGGCGCGGAGTTCTATCGCCGTCCATCCTAGCTAGATGGCCTAGCCACTCCAGACGGCGGCGAAGAACACGTGTGGTAATATCCACTGGATCTCGACGATTCCAGGCCTCCAGAATGGTCTTCCTGTTGATGTGGAAGTCCCAGGTGTCTCTTCTTCCGAGGGCTAAGATTGCGGAAATGCAGCGAAGATGGAAGGCGGACAGCGCCGCAAGCTCGCTTTTTAGTGGTACCCAACACTCCGCTCCGTGAAGGAGAAGAGAAGCCACACATGCATCATACACCATTCGCTTCGTTGCCAGTGAAAGATCGCCATCACGAAAGACAGATCGACGCAATGCTCCGAATGCCCTAGATGCTGACGCTATTCGGGACCGAGTGTCCACTGCGGTGCGGCCACCAGTATGGATGATGGAGCCTAGGTAGCGAAAGTCATGCACATTCTCGACGATTTCCCCGCCAACCACCAATGGACGACGATCCTCCGGAGAAATGCCGAAGCCGACCGCCATTACTTTGGTTTTTGATAGGTTGATGGTGAGGCCGAAGCGAGTTGCGACGTCCATGAACCGGCTGAGCGCAAGTGTGGCACCATGGTGAGTTGTAGCAATAAGTGCCGAATCGTCTGCGAATTGACAGTCACGATGGATGTTGATTGTGTCAGTCTTCTGGCGTTTGAAAAGGAGAGACGGTCCAGAGTTAGAGGAGACGGGAAGTCCAATCTGAGGCATGTCCGCAACCTCACGCTGCCACAGCTGGAATACTGCCCACATGAATATATTGAACAATACTGGGGCCATACAACAACCTTGTCGAAGGCCATTTTGCACCTCAATAGGCTCGGCCTCGATGCCCGGGATCGACAGGTTTGCAGACATAGAGGTATGAAATGAGCTGATAATGGTAACCAGCTTGTCAGGTACGCCCGCCTTCCGGAGAATTTCCCACATGCACTTAAGGGCGACGGAATCATAGGCCTTCCGTAGATCAACAAAGACCATGAAACCAGAGTGGAATGCAGAGCGGGTGCCCCAGGAGTGGGTGGACTGCCAGCTTGTCCCGATACCAAAAAAAGGAAATCTATCCAGCTGTGACAATTGGAGGGGCATCGCTCTTCTGGAGGTGGTAGGAAAGGCTGTTGCTGGCCTCGTCCAGACAAGATTGCAGCGACTCGCGGAAGACATCCTTCACACACACACACACACACACACACACACACACACACACACACACACACACACACACACACACACACACCATTGGTTACGGTTCAGCATTCGTAAACAGTTTCGTTGCCGTTTTATCAGAAGGTTTGTCTTGTCGACTACTTGTGATGCTTCCTTTGCATAGGGTAGGTATATTGACGTTAATGTTTACAGCTTCCAAAACATTCAAAAACTTCGTTATGGCCATGGCTGTCTATTTTTGTCACACAACGCTTCTTTGTTTTCTTCACACTTCCCCCTTATTTGTCATTACTTCTAACGTTCTGTCTATGGGCAATACATTTTATGATTGTTGGTCCCTTGTTTTTTATCACCGGAAAAGTAGGCACAGACAGTACCTTTTGAAAGTATCAGAATTCATTCTAAGAACCGTAAGTGTGTGCTCCTGCTAATGGTGCACTACCTGCGCTAGTACTTGTTAGCAACAACCCGAACTAGCGCACACAATGCACTGCATTGCTTCGTACTGCCTTCAAGACTGAACTGACGTCATGCGCTTTGTTTTGCTGCGTAATCACAAAAATGGCACCAGCCCGTTTTGCTGAAAAGAAAAAAAAACAAATCCTGCTTGCCCTGTTGTGCTCCCAGACAACGGATCGTGCTTCAGCAGTGTTTCTTTTCCCACCATCCCTCTCTATCCAACTTATTCACACCATCCTTATTATTATCGCACCCACTAATCGGGTCCACTCTCACAACGCGTGTTATCTAGCTATTTGCTGCGGCTCTGCCTTGCCCTATTATTACATCCATTTAGCTCTGCAGCTCTAAGTTGAGCTGATGGCAGCTCTACTTTGAGCTAACAGCAGCTCTACTTTGAGCTAATCGCAGCTCTACTTTGAGCTAACAGCAGGTCTACTATGAGCTGACACCAGCCCTACTTTGAGCTAACGGCAGCTCTGCTCCGAGCTAAAAGCAGCTCTGATATAAACTTACTGCATCTTTGACATGAGCTACCTGCAGCTCTGCTCTGAGCTAACAGCAGCTCTACTTTGAGCTCCAAACCAGTTGTTTCGAAACCAGCAAACCTTAATCTAAAGATGCCTCTTTGTTGACTTGTTTGTGTGAGAGATGGGGCTAACTAATGATTTTACAGCTCACCCCAGCCATCGTTCATGGAATGTATTAAACTGATAATTCTGGAAATTGCTGGCGCGAGCTGCTTTTCTTCTTGTCCTTTATGCATTGCTCTTGTGTGCCCAGCATTGATTGTGTTCAGCACAGTGATCAGAGTCTCACACAGTGATGTAGCATGCAGAACGAGAAATTGGCTAAGTGAAGAACGCGTTGTTTCCGGGAGACCAGGGATAATGTACTACAGTACCTTTCCGAACACTACAGAAGCATGGATTAGCTTGTCTGGTTTGATCTCATATGTAACGACTTTCAGGGTTTTGGGCCGATGTGATATGAAAATTGCAAACTTCGATTTCATGATTGGACGTTATAGTCGTTGCCATGTGTCTTACACTGTCAGTCGTGGAGATAGCAGTCAGACTTGGGATGATGAGATTATCTGTGGGTCGGGTTCTTGTAAGGTTAGTTACTCATTCCATAACACCCAAGATGCTCTGAAGCGCCAGTCCTATGGTCCATCATCGGTTAACGTGTTAGTAGAATCAGAATCACACTGCTCGATAAAAGGAAATCAATTCGGCGGTGTTGGCAGGCCTTTATTCAACCTCTTCATGGAATGTAAGTACAGAAGAAAGTAGAAAAAATATCCTGCAATACTTTATTAATGACTATGAGGTATCTTGTGCCCCACCGATTTCTTTGTTTGAATTAATATTTTGATTGGCTCACCTTCTTAGTAATACCTGCACCCCTGAAATACCACCATAATCCGTACATCAAAACGATCGTCGCGCGATATTACACATTTTGTTGAAGTTAGTTTGGCCTTCATATTTCATAGTCATTAACAAATTACAGTACTGTAGGATATCGGCATTCTTTTTTTGACAATTTGGCCTCGCAAAATTTGCCTTTCATTGCTTATCTTTGAGCCTCCCAAATTGAGTGCCTTTAACTTTGCGTTGTCAAATTGTGTTTAGACCATATTGACCAGTGGTCTTACTGTCCCATTATCGTACCAGCATTACACCTTGCCTTGGCATGCAGCTTGTGTTCGGCTCGATGGCGCTTAACTTCTCCTCTTTGGAATTACCCTAATATCCACGGGACTTCACAGTTGGACGGCGGTAGGGTAGCGCTGTCGAGCCGTTCTTAATCTCAATTCCTTTCTGTGGAATGCATCAGTACTCCTTGTCAGTTTGGTGCTACCTTGTGCACGTCTGACTGTTCAAAACCTGATATGAAACCTTTTCGTTCCTTTCTCTTCCGGATTATGCAGGGAATGGCTGAAATAAAATTAAAAATGACTAAAACTTACAGCGTAAATGTACATGTACTAGGATACAGCAATCTGCAAAAGGTAGTAATTTATCAAGTCAGTACCGTTGGGCCGTGTCGTGCACAGTTATCGTGTGAGCTGATTGTGAGCGTTGGTGGATAATAGAGTGTACTTTGGAGCTCTTTGGTTCTCTTTTCGTCTCATAAATATATCTTCGACTTCGAGTCTAATTTAGAGAATGGAAAGAAACATAATGTTTACGAGTTCACAGTAACTGTCCACCACTGTAACTAGATGATACAAGTTACTATAATTATAGTCAGAAAGTGCAATAACTGGGCACACAACTGACAGAATACTGAGACATTTGACGAACTTGCACCTTTTTTTCTTTTCTTTTTTCCAAAAACAACAAATAACTCCAAAGCACGAAAAAGGCCAAAAACTAAACCAAGAACATTTCCAATAACATGTTATTTAGAAAGACAGGACAAGTGAATAATTAGTTGGTCCATTTTTCATGATGGTCTCCGACGGTTACGTCGGAAGCGAGCCTCCGCCACTGCCAAAGCAGTGTGGGCTCCGCAGGAGGGTGCACATTTCAAATTAAAATTGATACACCTACAACCGCGAATGCACAAGATACATGATTTCAGAAGGCTGAAGGAAATCCTGCATCTACCAAATGCCATAATATGAGAGTAGTGATCACCCCTATTCTCAGCCAACAGATGAGCAATGCGTTTATACAGTGTTGTTGACGCTGGACCCATTCCGCCACTGGCTGACATGACAAGCGGAAAAAGGGACGCATGCTCAACCTGCCGCACCCGCTCCTCATAGAGCCTTCTCTTGACGAACTTACACCTACCTTTAAAACATTTCCGAAGCGCTACCTAACAGGCGTCCAACTTGGAAGTTTCTAGAATCTCTCAGTACTTTGTCAGTTGTGTGCTCATTTGTTGCCCTCTCTCGGTCTATTGTTTGAAGAAAAATGGGATATACCGGCAGCAATTCAAGTTGTGCAGGGAAAAATACATCGGAGAGACGGGTTGCACACTGGAGACGAGACTGGAGGAACACAACGGTGAAGCTCGTAGGCGCACTGTGGATAAGCCATGGGGTGACCACATGCTAAGCATGCCGAGATCCACCTAGGTGTCGGGGACAGCGTCTTCTCAGCAGTGTCCGTGGTTGCAAGAGCCAGTGACAGGGCAAGCCGCAAATTGCGAGAGGCAGTAGAGATCAGAAACGAAAGCCCAGAGATCAACACCAGTGCTGAATGGTCATTACTCTAAAACAGTCACACCACACTGGCTACCTAGGTGACAGTCTTTTCTGGAAAACACTGACATGGTCACATTGATGTATTGCTTGTGAGAAACCTGTTCAGACATTTCTTAAGTTATCTGGTGACATCTGCGCTGTGCTAACTTATTACCAACACCCAGCATATGAGTCAGTGAAAACTTGTGATCTTTCACTAGTTTTAGACATGTCATATTTCTAGCGCTGAGGTAACATGTGCAGTCATAGAAATATTATCAACACCTAAGAACACCAAATTAGTGTACATAACTGCTCCTTGGCAGACTTCCACTTCATATTGCATCCTATTGTGGGCAATTTGCGGAAACGTTGAAAATGATTCTGTAAAATGAAATGAGTTGTGAATTTGCAGTGCCCAGGGAATGAGCATGTGTGCTCACCAATTCTCTTCGAGTTATGAAGCTGCAGGATGCTTCACCGCTACTTCGTTCGTGGCTTTATTATGGTATTATAATTATAGTTTCAGCGGTGGACAGTTACTCTTCAATCATGTTCCTTTCCTTTCTCTGAATAGTATTATTGGCTTAACATCGGAGTTTAATATAACATGATACAATATTTTGTTAAAGATGGGAAGCCTTTGAGTGAAAATTTTGTTTTAAATATCTGGTCAAAACAAGGCCAAGTTTTGTTTTACTTCAAGTATGTTTTGAGGGTGCTAGATAAATTGTACAAAAACTATGAGGTTTGTTTACACTTGTGTCCACCCTTGCAGACCCTCTCTCAAGCTCCTTTCAAGTTGAACTGTATTTGTCATGTTATTGTGTTTTGTGTATTGTGCTAGATTCAGAAGGAGCAATAATCACGGCGGCGGCAACAACCTTGCCAGTTCCGATTGAAACCCAAGCTACTATTCCGTCAACGAATGCACCACTGCTATCTGCGACAAGCAGCATGAAGTCCACAGCTCCAAACGGTATCTGCACTAATATTCTAAATGTTAATTTTATTTTAATAATATTAACTGGTTTGAGGGAAAGAGACAAACGGGAAAAGTCTGAAGAAAAAATTGACTGTCACCACCAGGACTCGAACCAGGGACCCTCGCTTGTAGCCAGCGATGCTCTAACCACTGAGCTATGGTGTAGTCGTCATCCCAGCAGAGGCCGTTCAATATTTTCTTCAGACTTCGTAACTCACAGTTCCTGTAATAAACACATTTTATTTGGAAAGGTTTGGGAGAACTTCAAATTCAAATTTAATCACTTTCTTTCACTTCTGGTAGTTTCAAGAAACTGACCGTGGTTGGTCTACTGGGGGAGGGAAAAAGACCCAAGTGCCATCAGTATGTGTGGCACGTGTTGTGAGCTGCCTTTGGAGTGAAAAACTTGTCAGTGCCTTCTGGGTTCAGCCTGGTCCCATAGCTCAGTGGTTAGAGCATTTCTCATGACAAGCAGGGTCCCAGGTCGAGTCCTGGTGGGTCTGGCGTTTTTTTCTCTTTTCAGGCAGTTCACTTCCCCGACTGATCCTTTGAAACACATTTTAATAAAAATAAAATTAAGTAAAACTATCGTGTCAGTTTAGGAAGGGAACTCTCGACCACCGCTAACACCCGGTTAGCCCAAAATCTGTCAATGTTGGGATCGCTGTGTGTGTTAGTTGTCTGCTTTTGAGGTCAAAGGTATTTTTGTTACCGTAAATTTGCATTAAGATGAAGAAAGGAAAGGGACAAAATGTTACGAATTATGACAAACTGTCCACCAACGTAACCAGGTCTTATATTATGGTCTACGAGTGCGACAAAATGGCACAAAACTGACAAGGAGTACTGAGACATTCGGCGACCTGACACCTAGCTCCAACACTTCTCCAAGGCGCAAACCAACAACCTTCCAACTAACTTTCGGCATTCTTTGTTGCCGTGGCCCGTAGCTCATGCTCTTCATTACCTGCATTCTCTTATCATGTTATGCCACAGTTCCTCGATTAGTTCATAAACCCTGAAGTGTCTAATGTTTTCCAGCACTGAAGACACAGCTGGTTTATTGCAATATTCTCGCAAGCACGTTGATTGTTGAAAAACCCATTATACTATGTGCGACATTTGAACTCAGGATCCGCTCAAACCACAAGTCGAAGTAATATGTTGATTTACCAGTCTTCTGATGAAAACTGCACCATAGCTTAGTGGCGGAGCATTGCTGTTGAGAACCGTTGACCCTGTTGCCAGTTCTGTTGTTGACAGTCATGTCGTTCTGCAGGATTAACCTCTTTCAACTCCACCAAACTTATGAGTAATCGTATCTTTATGACAAATGTCTACACCCTGTTTCAGTCAAATGTATAATATGTGGTAAATAAACAGTATTCATTACATGTTCACTGGTTATGGCTTAGCAACAATAATTACGACAAGTTAATTCAAAGGTAGAGATAAGGATTTAACGTTCTGGTCCCAGTATTGCCCCCAGATTGTGTGACTTGAGGGGATCACTCTTTCCATGCTTTTACTCTCTTATCCTAGGTTTAACAACTATTCATGGGCCTTCGTCTACAAGGCAGATATTCCCTCGATTTACGAAGGAAAGGAACACGCTAGCTTTCTCTACCTCAGCGACTATGGAACGACTTGCAACCTTTTCCCACTTCGAGCCCTCAGAAGAGGACCCTTCAGCACTCGGCCGTAGAGCTATAATCGGGATTTCCGCGTCTGCTGGAACAGTTCTGGTTTTATGTGTGATATATTCAGTTGTGTGGAAATACAGAATGACAACCAGACGTTCTAGGTCCAGTGAAGATTTTGATAAAGAGCATCAACACAGCAACAAGACGGCAGAAGAAACTGGCATATACGAAACAGTGATTGGTGAGCGGCTCGATCAGATGGCTGTACCAATGACTGTACAGACACCAACAGAGTCTGCCGTTCCTATGTACGAGAGCACAGCTTACATGAGCACTACGAAGAAATCCTGTCAACTCACCTCGAATGATGCCTATGGAGCGACGTCGGACATGTTCTAACATACTCGGGCGAGTCTGATGAATGAGAGCGCTACTTTCATGGTGGTCGAGCTCAGGTGTCTCATAAGGATCTGTCAGACAGAATTTCCTCATCCGGCGGAACTCTAGGACTGCTAACTCCACGGACAACACGATGTAGCAGATTTTGACAGACTTGCAGATGCGAGTTGGTCTAACACTACTCCCAAATGCAAACTACGCAGTGAGCTACGCATTGTGCAGCCTCTACGTTACGCTCTCGCCAGTTGATCAGCTATCTAGGCACCAGGATGTGATGCAATGACGGATGTTCACGTTCTGTTCCATATTAAAATGATGGCATGTACCTCGCATTTATTCTATGCTGGACACTAATTTTCACATAAACATATTCTAACCTGTCATGCACTTCTTGCCAATAATATGCTCCTTTCTTTCACTGCTATGTCATTTTTCTCACTTCAGTAGGCAATATTCCCGGCAATAACCTATTCAGATGTTGATGGCCGCAAACCTTTCAGCTTTACCTGATACGTATTGTATTTGACATAACCTTTTCAGAAGATTCACTTTCTACATTTTAGCATTATTTTCGCTTGCACGTGAAAAGCTTTATATTTGACTGAAGTGTTATATTTTGAACAACCTAGCCAAGTTCTTATAGCTGATTGTGTAGCATACACTGTAGTACATGTTATTTTCTTCAATGTTCATTTCTATTGCGATCGCCTCAGTAAGATTCTTTCAGGAAAGGTTATTACAGGAATACACCTATAGTATAATGTACTGTAATACGGATATGAGCACCGCGAGGAGTTTGCTTTTTTCTTAGTTCACTTGTCATTCTGTCACCAAATTACTTTCTTCGGCGCTTTCAATCATGTTCATACTGGCCACTTTTACTTTCCACGTGCTTTACAAGACATCATTGAGCGTTCATCCATCCCATATATACACGATAGTCAGCTTACGAGGGTAGCTGTCGGCGATAGAGTGCATTGATTGTAGGGAAGCACTGCGGACACAATATAAGAAGAGATGAAGGCTAAGTTTCGGAGAGTGACATCCGCATCGCCCATCAACAGGTAACATTATGTATAGGGTTCATCAGTCTATATGATGCATAAACAGAGGCAGACAGGTACATAAAGAACACTGGGATACTGATTATCCAGAGTCTTCCTTGTTTCATATTTTTGGGAGTTGGGTTTTCACCGTTTATGACGGTTGGAAAAAGCAGTGGGTTGATTTGCAAATTATACGGAACTACTGCTTCACCATAGACTGGATAGGAGAGCCAAGGACAAATGAATAGTATAAAAAGGACCAAAGAAGTACAAGTTACGCTTTAATGTGCACTTACCAACCAATGTATCCTGGTAGAAATCAATGACATCATCGGAGCATGGATGCGGCTAGCGAACGAGGTCAAGAAATTTGAGTTGATGTGGTTTGGCCATGTTACGAGACATGACGTCTTCTCCAAGCCCTTCCTGCAAGAATCAACTCCTGGACCTCGACCGAGAGGAAGGCCCGCGACATCATGGATTTCCAACATTAAAAGTTGGACGGGTCTTCCCCTTCATGCTCTCTCTCTCTCATGCAGCACACGATAGAGTTGGATTCAGAGACATCATTCACAATTCTCTCGCTGATTAATGCCTCTACGATCACCTTGCGATTATGAGTTATACATACATACATACATACACCACCAGATACTAAACAATCATCTCATGCGATAACATTGCACGATACTGACGGTACTGACGTTCTACAACTAACTGGCTAACAGTTCTAGCACATCTTGGATGCGCACTCCAACAGACTTCCAACTTGGAAAGTTCCAAGGTATACAAATAGCATAAGAATGGAAGGGTGAGAGTAACCAAAATAAGCACGAGTTGAAAGTCGTGAGGGACGTTGGCGGATAGGGGTAAGCGGAATATACCGGCATAACGTTTGGCGTAGTCAGGTCCTTTATGAGAAGGAGCCTAAAATGCTTAATGGCATCCGATAAACAAGGGCAGATGCCCATTCAAGCTGTTACACACACCTGCTATTGAAGGTATAATTGATGGCATCATTTTTGCCATAATCAGATCCTTTTTCAGACGGAGCATTAAACGGCATCGGAAAAACAAGAGCAGATTCCCGTTGAGGGTGTTATATGCATGCATGTATGTCATAACTCCGTCTCAATATCTCGGATTACTAAGGTTGAGACACCACTGGAAATGTCTTGCGCTCAGCTTTCCAGGGATATAAACTTATTTGCGATGCGACAAGGTAGGACCGAGCGGCGACAAATTCAACGGCCTGAATTAGCAAATTTAACTTTTTGGAGATCGATTTAATTTTTTAGTTCGCGACTTCATGCGGGATAGGGGATTTCCCCTAGAGACAGTGCGTGCGCTACAAGCTTCAACAAACGAGCTTGAATCTCAGCTCTCCAATGCAGTTTGAATCGTGAAAATCTGTGCACTACGAGCAAGAAGACGAAAGGAAACATGAAAGGCAGTCTTTATGTTATTTTCAGGCGTGGTAGGGGGACTTGGAGAGGAGATGGAAGTCGACCTTTTATGCCTGTTGCGCTTTGAGTCAGTGAAATGTCTTCCCACGGTCTAGATCTTTCCAACAAGCCATGGATGGTGAAAATCCATCAAATTACAGTGAAATAGGAATAAATTTCATTGTGAGCTGCGCGTGCAGCTTTGAACAGGTAAGCTGAGCGCCTGAAAAAATGCGTGGCCAGCACAGGAAAAAATGCTGGTGGTTATCAAAACGTTTTTGCTGTGTACACGAAAATGGTAAGCGCTAGAGCTGCTAGCCAGTTAGTTGTAGAACGACAGTAACGTCGGTCAGTGTCGTGCAATTTTATCGCATAACCTGATTGTTTAGTAACTGGCAGTATTAGTGGACATAATTAGCGTATCTTGTAGTTCGTGGTCCTTTTATTTACTGCGCGAGTTTTTAGATTTTCTATTTAGGTTAAAAGAAGATTCATACAACTGTTACGTGACTCACTAAGCCATACAGCGCCACATTTCAGACTTAAAACGAGAATATCAGACGTTCTTTACGCTAGCATCCTGTTCTTCCTTGTGAATTCACCAGTAGGATCAGTACTGTCAACCATATTGCCTGTCGATTGGACTACGTTCCAGCCTAGATGCATTGATATTATCATTGTGTACTATGCTGGGACGCCATGCCATCTAAGCACAGTGAGTGTACTCCGTTAATTCTGTGTGGCTGAGCGTTGGACATTTGTACATCACTGATGCACGCGATGGAGCGTGGCCAATTGGCATGCGAATCAATGCTCTCTCCTCTAAACATCCGCGTGTCATGTTGCCACATCATTCCGCTAATCAATAGCGTGACGCGGTGTCCAAGGACCATATGTTGGTAGTAATTTGCACTTTGCTCATTACCAAGGGCACAAACTCTCCAAATCAGTGTTGTGGAATTATCCACCACCTGCCAGCGCAAGGATATAAGTTAGACTATATTAATTTAATTCCAAAATGCCCAAGACGTTTACAGAAGAAAAAAGCACGACTTCGACCAGGCCAGAAGCAAGAAGAACTGAACACAAGATGTTGAAAACGTTTCTCCTCAAAAAGCTGCATCACGTACATGTACAACGCAAAACAACTGGCTGCACCAGCGCGTGCACAAGCGCGTGCACCAGCGCGTGCACCAGCGCTGCACCGACGCGTGCACCAGCGCAATCAATATCCAAAGTACGTATTAATTATTACATTACGTACAACATGCGCAAGAGTGTTACTCTACTTCACCAGTAAGCTGGATTGTGTTCCAACTACAACACGAGAACAAACCTCTCTCCTCCTCCATGCGCTCTCTGACGACACAAAGCTAGCCTCAGTAACCAATACATAAACACAAACACGAATAATTCGAAACAACGAAGGAGTTAGGGGCTTCAATTCTTGTTACTGATAACATGCCTTCTGAGAACTGTGTCGCCTACTAAAGGCTCGTCAGAGAAGGTAATGCTGATTAGGATATTGTCCTTAAACAATATTGTCTTAACGTACTCGTGTGTAATGGTAGCCATGTATCCATGAGTGCACATGGAGGATCAGAGATGTTTGTAGTATAGCGAATCCCACTGGCACCTTTCATTGGTTTGTAGATAAAACTATCAGCTGAAAGGATGTCTCAGGCACGGTTGAAAGAACAACAGCAGACTACGGCTTTGTCACCACTGGACTTTGCAAAAATGAGAGTTTCCTAGAGAAAATCTCGCGCGCATTACCTAAGTTTCTGCACATTTTGCACGTAATACTCAGCATAGCCGCTTGTGGTCACTTATACCGTTAAACGGAGACTTCCTCGATATAGGCTAAGGACTGTGGAGAATTCATAACACAAATACAAACACCAGATTGACCCACATGCTATGACACTGTGCATAATTATTATACATATAGCCATAGGCAACGATATATCACGTCGTCCCTACAAAACATATGTCTATGCTTACATAATTACATTATCTTCTTTGAAGGACACCAATTTAATCCCCTGTGCTAAACTGTTGACCTTGCCCAGGGTCCAACATTGCATTCATTGATCAACACTGATTGTGGTGACAAATTCGGATGTATGGTATACACGATAACATCCACTATAATAAATTATGTTCGTAATGCAGTGTTTTCTGGTGCTGAGTAACCACTAGCATCCAACACATCCAGTGCGCTTACCATAGGCCGGTCATTAGAGTTCTCTTTAGCGCATAGCTTATCCCATAGCATTTTCTAAGGAGACTGTGTCGTGATGCATGAAGGACACATGATGAGATTTTCCGAGTTTTTTTTCAGGATCTCAGGTGCGCATTATGATACCGTGACAGCCTATTTCATGCCGTTCTCGACTGCATGCTCTGAAATGTGAATTGAATTATTCCCAAGTTGTTGGACTGTGTACTTCATGCCGAACGTATTATTCTGCAAGCACCATAGTTCTGATATCAGACAAAATCAATGTCTGAGTTGATATAGCTCCCTGCTCCAAACGAGCGTACTTTTTAGATCGCTGCAGGGTAGGTCCATTCGTCATACACGTGTCCAAACGTCAGCGAAAGTTTAAAATTTTGGTATTACAATATAGAGGCATGTGTTCACTGTGTTAATCGAGCGGCTTCGCGCCCACGGGGTATTAGCCAACGCTCTTGTCCATCAGGTGTTGAACTTTGCGACGTGGGCGACTCGGCCCATGCAAAGAGCGCACGGTAAATAGCTCAGCTCAAGGAAGATGAATCGGGTGTATCTAAGCTTCAACATGATTATGAAGATAGGTAAGCTTGTGACATAACTTTTCATTGTCCCTTCAATAATCGTTATTGTACGGTTCCAATACTGTAAAACCGGAAAGTCTAACGAGTCCGAAAGTCTAACGTTTTAACGACCAATTTTTATTATGCCAAAATTCCAAAAACGTTAAACATTTTGGTTGTTAGACTTTCCGGTTTTACAAGTCTCAATTTAGATGAAAATATGACACCCTTCTTCAAACTATTGTGTTCCACGATTGTGTGGATAAACATGATGAGGAAGACGTTTTGTTCATAAATACAGCAGGCAAAACTTCGGGAACGGGAAAGATATGCCGAACGCAGTTGAATGGATTCTTTACCCGAGCTGCGTTTTTGTTTTTGCAGGCTGTGGGTATGGTTTTTTAGATGCAACCCTAGTTAAATACCATGTAAGCATGTTCCGAGAAAAAATAGCTAAAAAAACTTGGCAGAAGCGTGCGCATCACGTTGTTCGAAAATATTCTCAAACTTAAGAGACAGATTTTGGAGGACACGAAAAATAGAGCAAGTTGCGTATTCAACACACACACACCATTGGCTACGGTTCAGTATTCGTGTACAGTTTCGTTGCCAGCTCATCAAAAGGGTTGTCTTGCCGACTTCTTGTGATGCTTCTTTGTATAAGGTAGGTTTATTGGCGTGAATGTTTACAGCTTACAAAACATTCATCAACAACTTCGTAATGGCCAAGGCTGTCTTTTTGTTGTCACACTCCGCTTCTTTGTTTTCTAACCTCCCCCTTATTTGTCATTATTCCTAACTTTATGTCAATGGGCAACACATTTCATTCATTGTTGGTAACTTTTCTTTTTTCATCGGAAAAGAAGGCACAGACAGTACCCTGTGAAAGTTTCAGACTTTTTTCAAGAACCTGGATCGTGTGCTCCTGCTGACTATTGTGTAACCATCATTCATCAAATGTATTAAACTGATCATTTTAAAAACTGCTTGTGTGAGATGCTATTATTGTTGTGCTTTATGCTTTGCTCTTGTGTGTCCAGCATTGGTTATGTTCAGCACAGTCGTCAGAGTTTCGCCCAGTGATGTAGCATGCAGAACGAGAAACGGGTTAAGTGAGGAACGTGTTGTTGCAGGGAGACCAGGGATTGTGTACCACAGTACCTTACCGAACACCACAGAGGGGTGGATTGAGGTGGCTGGCCCGATCCCACATGTAACGAATTTTAGGGCTTTGCGCCGATGCAATATGAAGATTGCAAACATCAATTTCGTGATTGGACGTTCTAGTACTTGCAGTGTGACGTACAGTGTCAGCCGTGGAGATAAATATCATACTTGGAATGATGAGCTGACCTGTGGACCACATCCTTGTAATGTTGGTTACTCATTCCATAACGTTCACGATGCTCTGAAGCGCCAGTTCTATGGTCCATCATCGGTTTACGTGTTAGTAGGATCATCCTCACACTGCTCAATAAAAGGCAGTCACGTCGGGTTAGTTGTCACACCTTTATTCACCCTCTTCATGGAATGTAAGTACAGAATATAGTACAGAAAATATCCTGCAGTACTTGGTTAATGAATGTGAGGTATCTTGGGCCCCACCATTTTCTTTGTTTAAATTAATATTTTGATTGGCTCACCTTCTGAGTAATTACTACACCCCTGAAAGGCTACAATGATCGTCGCGCGATATTATTCATTTTGTTGAAGTTAGTTTGGCCTTCATATTTCATAGTCATTAATCAGTTACAGTACTGTAGGATATCGGCATTCGGTTTGTTACAATTTGTCCTCACGAAATTTCCTTTTATTGCTTATCTTGACAAAATTGAGCCTCCCAAATTGAGTGACTCTTGCTTTGTGTTGTCAAATTGTGTTTCGACCATTTCGACCAATGGTCCTACTGCTCCAATACCGTACCAAGCCAGCATTCCACCTTTCCTTGGAATGTAGTTGTGTTCGGCTTGATGGCGCTTACTTTCCCCTCATTGGAATTATGCTAATATCCATGAACCCTCAGAGTTGGAAGGCGGTTGGGTAGCGCTGTCGAGCCGTGCTCAAGCTCACTTCCTTTCTTTGGAATGCATCAGTAGTCCTTGTTAGTCTGGTGCTACCTTGTGCACGTCTGACTGTTCAAAACCTGGTTTAGTTGGTGGACTCTAAAGCATAACTTGCGCCCCTACGATTTCCATTTTTCCAGTACAAGCAATTCTTGCACCTTTGTACAACTTGACTTCGAAAAAGTTCCTAATCCCACATAGAATTGCATGCCGCATCACGAAGGTTGAAACAAACTCAATTTTCTGCGGTCAGCCAGTTGCGATGGGTGGATGAACTGTGCGATGGGTTCACCTACTTGTAGGGGATTTCGCCATTTCGAGGCTATCAGAAAGCGCATTCTTTCTCAAAAATGCTTCTGACACCCCAATTTAACTCTGTTTCTTGTTTTGCATATTTGGATGTGTTTGTTATAGACTCCGATGGAGTAATAGTCACGGCACGATCAACGTCCATGACATTTCCCTTTCCAACCCTAGCGGGTGTTTTGCCTACGAGTGAAGGGTTGAAACTTGAAAGCATTAACTAACACAATTCTGGAGCCGGTTAATTGGAGCGGTATGTCAAAGGTCCTGCAGAGGCTTCAGCTAAAACAATATGCCTTAATGTTGAAGAAAGATTTTTCTTACGTGATATTCTCTGTTGTCTACGTATTCATTTTAAAGACACTCAAGGTTCAGACTTTGAGATATTTAGGCAAATATGGACGGTTTACATTCGCATTAAACGTTTTGCAGTTGACCCTATCAAGGAAGGAAGGTGTTGGTGGCGAAAATGTTTGATCCTTTTTTTCAGTGGCTATTCTGTATCTATATCTGTGGGGTATTTGCCAAAAACCGAAAATAAAGAGAATTAGCTGAATTCTGTTTTTCGGTTAATTATGGGAACTTTTTAGTAGAGAACACTACCTTCAACAAAGATGTAGGTATAGATGATAAGTGTTACTTTGTCATGGGTATTGTTTTATGTTTTTAACTGGCACTTCATTGTAAATCACAACAGGATTGATTTCTTCTAAGACCACACATGAACACGCACATCCTGCATTGGGAGTTGAACCAGCAACCAGTACCAGCCCGATGCCTGTTAGTTTGGTGCCCCATGCTAGACCGGTGAATTCGACCCAGCTTCAAGCCGGCAATACGTCTTCAGTGTCTGGTAAAACATTACCTGCATTCTCTTATTATGTTATGCCACAGTTCCTAGATAAGGTCATAAACCCTGAAGTGTCTAATGTTTTCCAGCCCTGAAAACACAGCTGGTTCATAGCAACATTATCGCAAGCACGTTGGTTATTGAACAATACATGACAATTTGTGCGGTATTTTAACTCAGGATCCGCTCAAAACGCGAAGTCGGAGAAATATGTTGATCTACCGGTCCTGTGATGAAAACTGCACCATAGCTTAGTGGCGGAGCATTGCTAACCTTTGACCCTGGTGCCAGCTATGTTGGTGACAGTCATTTCTTTCTGCAGGATTTAACCTCTTTCAACTGCATCCAACTTATGAATAACCGTATCTTTATGATAAATGTCTACAACCTGTTTCAGTCAAATGTATAATATGTTCTGTGGTTATGGCTTAGCAACAAGAATTTTGACAAGTTATGTCCAAGAGTAGGGATAAGCGATTAACGTCGTTGTCCAAGTATCGTGCCCAGATTGTGCGACTTGAGGGGATCATTCTTTCCATGCTTTTACTCTCTTATCCTAGGGTTAACAACTATTCATGGGCATTCGTCTACAAGGCAGATATTCCCTCCGTTTACTAAGGAAAGGAACACGCTCGCTTTCTCTAGCTCAGCAAATATTGAACGACCCACAACCTTTTCCCTCTTCGATGCCTCAGAAGAGGACTCTTCAGCACTCGGCGAGAGAGCTATAATCGGGATTTCGGCGTCTGCTGGAACAGTGATGGTTTATTTTGTGATATGTTCGGTGGTGTGGAGACACAGAATCACAACCAAACGTCCTGGGTCCAGTGAAGATTCTGATAAAGAGCATCATCACAGCAACAAGGAGGCAGAATAAACTGGCATATACGAAACAGTGAATGGCGAGCGGCTCGATCAGATGAATGTACCAATGACTGTGCAGACATCGAAAGAGGCTACCGTTCCTATGTACGAAAGCACAGCTTACATGAGCACTACGAAGAAATCCTGTCAACTCACGTCGAATGATGCCTATGGAGCGACGTCGGACATGTTCTAATATACTCGGGCGAGTCTGATGAATGAGAACGCTACTTTCATGGCGGTCGAGCTCAGGTGTCTCATCAGGATCCGTTAGACAGAATTTCCTCATCCGGCGGAACTCTATGACTGGAAACTCCACGATGTAGCAGATGTTGACAGACTTGCAGATGCGAGTTGGTGTAACACTACTCCCAAATGCAAACTACGCAGCGAGCTACGCATTGTGCAGCCATTACGTTACGCTCTCGCCAGTTGATCAGCTATCTAGGCACCAGGATGTGATGCAATGACGGATGTTCACGTTTTCTTCCATATTAAAAATAATGGCATGTACCTCGCATTCATTCTATGCTGGACAATAATTGTCAAATAAACCTATTCTAACCTTTCATGCACTTCTTGCCAATAATATGCTCCCTTCGTTCACTGCTATGTCATTTTTCTCACTTTAGTAGGCAATATTCCCGGCAATAACCTATTCAAATTTTGACGGCCGCATAACTTTCAACTTTACCTTATAATTATTGTATTTGACACAACCTTTTCAGAAGATTCATTTTCTACATTTCCGCATTATTTTCGCTTGCACGTGAAAAGCTTTATATTTGACTGAAGTGTTATATTTTGAACAACCTAGCCAAGTTCTTATAGCTCATTGTGTAGCATACACTGTAGTACATGCTATTTTCTTCAATGTTTATTTCTTTTGCATGATTTGCATCAGGAGATCCCCTCGACAGGCCATCGCCTCTATAAGATTCTTTCAAGAAAGGTTATTACAGGAATACACCTATAGTATAATGTACTGTAATACGGATATGAGCACCGCGAGGAGTTTGCTTTCTTCTTAGTTCACATGTCACTCTGTCACCAAATTACTTTCTTCAGCGGTTACGTCCAAATTCATACTCGCCACTTTTACTTTCCACGTGCTTTACAAGACAACATTGAGCGTTCATCCATCCCATATTTAAACGATAGTCAGCTTATGAGGGTAGCTGTCAGCTATAGAGTGCATTGATTGTAATAAAGCACTGCTGACACGATATAAGAAGAGATGAAGGCTAGGTTTCTGAGAGTGACATCCGCAACGCCCATCAACAGGTCACATTATGTATAGGGTTCATCAGTATACATGATGCATAAAGAGAGGAAAAGACAGGTACAAAAAGAACACTGGGATACTGATTATACAGTGTTCCCTGTTTCTTGATTTTTGGGAATTGGGTTTTCACTGTATAATTCTGACGAATGGAAAAAGCAGTGGGGTAATTTGGAAATTAGAGGGAGCTACTGCTTTAAGGGTACATGGATGCAGCCAATGGGGTTTCTCGGCACTTGTGCCAGTGGTTGTGAGACTTATACACTCACCCCCAACGGTTAGGCGCTGCATTTGCCGCTAGGGTCTACTGGGTGTTAGCGGCGGTCGTAATTTCCCTTCGGAAACGTACACGATAATTTACCTTAATGCTTCAGGATAGTCTTAGATGAAGAGCCAAAGACAAATGTTTAGTATAAAAACGACGAAAAACTACAAGTTACGCTATAATGTCCAGTTACACCGCCAGATACTAACCATTCAGCTTGTGCGTTTTAAAGCATTGCACAACACAGATGGACGGTACTGACGTTGTACTGGCTAACAGTTCTAGCACGTCTTGGATGCGTACTCCAACAGCCTTCCAACTTGGAAGGTTCCAAGGTATAGAAATAGCAGCTCACTGTTCACATCCTACTACTCCCTCATTGCCACGGATGTGGACAGAAGTTGTGTCACGCGTGGTCAGGTCAACCAGCTGCTCAGAGTGCCGTTCCTACCTGGTCCCTCAGGCCGTAGCTCTATCGCTTTTGTTGGCAGCACCACATGTAACTCTCTCCCTGCTGATATTCGCGCTTGCGAAGTACGCCACACGTTTCAAGCATTGCTGTATGGCTATGACCTTATTTTCTTCCTCAACTAGCCCTCCGATGCTGTGCCTACTATGTCTTCTTCACAGATTCTGCCTGAACAGATGCTCATCAATATATATTTTTTATTATGTTCTTGTCCTCCATCCTAGTCCAAATCCTGCCTTTCCCATGCATGACTCTCATGAAAGGCCATTTCTAAAAAGTGTATAGAACAAGAATATTTGATATCATACTTCTCTAATCAACTATGATAATACCCATTTCATACACCCTCCCCTTCCTAAATTAATAAATACTGTTTTCTTTCCTTGTCCTGCTTGTTCATATGGTGAAGTAAAATACAGAAACAACAACAACAATA